TGACGAGGAATTGATTAAATTCCTGGAATTTCACTCCTATGCGACCCCTATCGTCAAAAGAACTCAATTCAAGCGCAAAGGACTGCCCCCTGTCTGCAACACCCTGTTTTCTATCGTCAACTGTTGCTTGACAGGGAAAGTGGGTAGTCACGACCAGAACTCACACGCCATGACGTACATCTACTTCAACCTTCCTCTGGATTACGCGCAGTTAATATTCGAGGATATGGTCGGGTTAATCAAGAGGAAATGCACGAGTCAAAGGGGCAAAAAATCAAAGGTCAAAGCACAAAAGAAGGCCAAGGAGGACATGAACCAACCCAACCTTATTCTGCAACGTTTCCTTGGTCKAGTCTTTGGCGATCTTCTAGCASCCAAACTTCCTTCTGTGGAGCCAAACGCAAGGCTCTACCCATTCAAGGAATTTCACCCTACTGAGCATGAGCAAGGGTACAGAAGCCCAAGACCCTTATCCAGAGCCATGCTCAGATTTCTTAGCCACGAAGACAGGAAGGCATATAGACGTGGATTCAGGTGACCAGAACCGGTCCCTAAGACCCCACCACGAATAGGAATCCCCTTAGGAGAGCGAATGAAAAAAATGAGGGTTGAGGGACGTACGGAGGAGCCTGCAGAGGCTAGTAGGATGAGTGAGGCAATCCCTAGAAAGCCAAGTCCCCCAACCAAGAAGCTTAAGAAGACACAGAAGGGTACTGACTCTTCTGTGAAAAAGAAGGCGAAGAAGAGGCCTGCAAAAGAAGAAGGCCCATGTGTTCCTCTGTCAAAGCCTAAGAAGAAGAAAGTCAAGAAGGCTCAACCAACAGAGCCTGTGGTCACAGAGGCTGTGGCACAAGAGAACCTGGCAGAGGCTACAACTCATAAGCGCAGAAGATTGCGCAAAGTCGTTCTCGATGTTCCCCCAACAGAACAAATCCAGGATGTTCTCGCCAATATCCAAAAGGAGTTCAAAGCGCCAATCGATATATCCAAGTTGGGGACAGAGGTCGTCTAAGATGACGAAGAAGAAGAGAAAGAAGAACTAGGTGAGGGAGAACAAAATGCCAATGGCACACAACCCAGCCCACCTCCCAGTGCATCCCACGCTTCTAAGGGTCCTGTTCTAGAGGGATCCCCTATTGAACAAGGTACGCACATGCCGATCCCAAACTAGCCTACCCACGCAGAGGGCACTCTTTCGTCCTCTGTGGATCGCACAGCCGGGCAACCACAAAATACTCCTCCATCCTCTCAAAAGGATGAAGGTTTTACTACAAGAGTCCCTTCGCCCAAGGACTCSACACATCYCACAGAAGCATTCGTTGCTTCTTCACACAAGAGTGACCACCAAAAACGTGCATCAGAGGCACAAGTGAGGCACACAGAGACAGATGCACGATATCTACAGAACACCAGTAGGCTCTCCTCTGGGAGATGTTCGAGGATTTGGTGGAAGTCCCCAAGCTGACTACACTATACCAGTCGCTGAGGGCGCCTCACACTTCGAGGCTACTAAATCACCATGTGTTGGTGGTTTAGGAACCCAGGATACGTATGTGACAAAGGGGGAGCTTCAAACCTTTGCCAC